GGGGTGAGTGTCTCTGCGTATGCGTATGTCTGTGTGTGTGTGAATGTGTATGTATATGTCTGAGTGGCAGACTAATTTTGAGGGCAACAGAGTCAGTAATTTAATTTTTCTGTCCGTTACTCTTGACCGCGACCCCAAGATGAGTGCTTTTCGCTAAGACCACACCCCTCATCCAGGCGGTATCGGCAGATATTAACCCTCAGCCAATTCAGATGACTCACGGCATCACTCGGATGTTTACAATTATAGCAAAAACCTCAGCAATTTCATCTTATCTCTGATCAAACTGTAGGTTTATTGCTTATATTATACATTTATTTTTACTCAGTTTCATTTTTATGCAAATAAGTTACAAAACAGCCAAGTTGTAGAGAAGTTTATGATGCTAAAAGCGTGGGTGGCAAAATTGGTCGCTTTTAAGCACAAGGGGGCTATCCCTAAAAATGCTGTTTTAAGAAAAATCGAAAGAAAAGTTTTTGCCCCTTGTTCAGTTTCTTTAAAAGACTAGGAGATTTTTCTTTATAACCAAACACATATACACACCTATGTAACCAAGCTTCTCCTATAGGTACGGCAATGCCCACTTTTGGTGTAGGTCAAGATTTCTGGAAACCCCCGAAATCTTGGTTACCCACTTGTCCTTAAAAGCGACTTATTAGTTATGTACGAAGGAGGAATAGTGTTCCGTATGCTTGGAGTTAATATTTTGGCATCCTCAGCTTTGATTTCTAGGATTCTGCTGTGATACGAAGAGGAGGATGCCAGTATGCCGTATGCGAACATGCACTTTATGTGAGGTATTATGGTGAAATCAGATTCTAGTTTTTAAAAAAAAAGGAATCATTTTCTGGCCGTTAGGCATTTTGTACGATTTTTGTTGTTGTTGTTTTTTTAAAAACAACTTTCAGGTCCATTTAAAGGTGATGAAAGGAAAATAAACCGTAAATTATTAGTTTCCAAAGACACTCAAGGTTTGGAAGTCACCAAGCTTTGGCGACCATTTTCTTGCTTATTTTACCTCTGAAGCAATGCGACCCCCATCTCTTTCAACCGCAAATATCTCGACATCTATTCAAGATAGATTGTTAATTCTTCACACAAAAACAAGACAAATAAATATGCGTTAAGGTGATACCAATCTCTATATTATTATGTCGAAACATTGACTAGCACCTGATTCCACCACGCCGTGACACATATTATTATTACTCGTTGGAAACCACAAAGACAGCAAACATTAAAACGCAAGCACCAATGTGCTTGTATACGTGCATACATATACAGACACGCGCAAGCTGTTATAAATGTACTATAAACACATAAATTGAATTAATTTTTTAAGGAGAGAGGGGGGG